GAGAGGCATATTTGGTAATTTTATTATATTATTTTTCTTTAAGAGATAAATTCAATTTTTATTATATTGTGGGGATGTTGTATTGGAAAATTATTAACTATATGAGATTTCTTTCAGAGGTGATCTTATCTATGGCTTTTAGTGACTTGAAGTTATTATATTAGTGTATATTGCATAGAATGGCTATAACTAATAATTATGTAATAGTAGTAGTTGCTGAGTATATAGTATATTCCAAGCACTGCAAATGTTTCCTTAAATCAAAAAATTAATATAAAACAGTAAATTTAATCATGCATAGTTCACCCACCATAGAAAAGCTATAACGTATAAACTTATAATATGCACAGTGTAGAATGATTTTCAAATTGACCAATCACTACAGTAGATGTCATTCACTGCAGCAAGGTGCTGCATTGACCAATCACAACATCAGATTACTGTCACTTCCAAGTAGCATTTAGTGCTGAGCTTGGTAGATCAGCAACACATTCTCTCTTACTTTAAATAGGTGATGTGCTAGAGATGGGTGGTTACTATGGCGACTATCTACGTATGTATACATTTACTGCGTGTGAAATGAAGTGTTTGGAGCACAGCATGCTGGTGCTTATTCCTTGTCATAGATACATCACAGGATGATATGAATTCACATATTTCCAAAAAGAAGGAAAAAAATGAAAATTATTTTCAGAGATTTGCACTCATTACAGTCTACACGGTTTCTGCAGCTTTGAGCAAACATGCTTTTGAAAGATGCACGGAAAAGAACCACCCCTTTTTCAAATCTTACCTGTATGAGTTATTGCTTTGCATAGATAAATACCCACTAATTTTTTATTAACCTCTTTTACAGTAACATGTAATCATATTTCCTACCCATAGATTGCTGTTCAATAATTGCATGTTGTGGGCTTGGTACACTAACCCCCTTGATCCCAATTTTATATTGAACATTTGACCTTGACCTGTTTATTATTTATTTATTTATTTATTTATTTATTTATTTATTGACTGTGATGATATTGAGAAATAAAGATCCCTTTTCTTTTTTTAAATATTGCTGGTTTTTCTTTATTACTTGTACGATATAGAAATATAAACTTTAAGTCTTAATATGTATAAAGTTTTTCATATTTTGTATTGTTTAATTATATTATTTTATTACACCAGGCTGGTTGGAGTTATCAGAAGGTACTTTTTAAGCATGACTTTGACCTGTGGGTGACTTTTATTTAATCTACTTTGGACCCATGCCTTCTCCATAAAGCCATCCAGCCGCATTTGGACCACCACTGGCCTCAAAAGATGCCTGTATTTTAAAGGGTGGCTGGATGGCTTATGGTTTTTTGGGGGGGATGATGGTATAATTGTAGTAGGGCTCCCTGCAAATCAGTGACCAAATTACAGAACAGTATTTTGGACTCCCTGTACCTCAAATCCTCAATAAAAATCATGTTTTGAACCAATCTAATTGTCAGTTATACCCAGCCTAGATAATATTGACCTTAAACGTTGACCCCTGCTTTCTCTGCACCCAGTTGCTAGTTTTGCTTCATTGCAGTTGTCAGAGATTGGAAGCTGCTGCATGCAAAATTGCTGCTATCTGTGGCCTCTGTGTTAATATTTCACAGCAGCAAATAATGCATGTTTTGATTGACCCCATTCAGATAAACTCATGGTACTAGTTGGGTTGGTCCATCTCTGTGGGGATACTCGCTAAGTGCAATCAGTAGAGTCAGCTTAATTGTCTGACAGCCTTCTTGAGCAGCTAGAGGTGTTAACCCAGGTGCAATTACCACCTAGCTGCTCAAGAAGGCGTGCCATTCAGTTAAGTTGATTGCACTTAGCGAGAGTCCCTGCAGAGTTGGACCTACCCAAGTAGTATGATGTGTCTAGCTGAATGCTGCCATTGTCTTCTATGAGGTTTAAGAGGCTGTGAGGAGTAGAGGAGAAAACTTTTTTGTGCCTTTTTTTTTTTTTTTTTTCCAGATTCAGAAATAAACAAAAAGTTGATGAACATTTTGAAAACTTTGCTTTAATGATTATTCAACTGATGACCCTTTAAGTAAAATTTACTTAGGTTTGATGTTGTTTAAACCACCAAATTAACCATCCTTTTCCAGTTTCCTTATGATGGCTTGATGAAAAGTAAATAATTTGGAAAGTATTGTATTCTACTGTTTGTTGCAGACGGCTTTGACCCTACCCTGGATGGTAATGTAACCCCAGAGTACATGGATGAGCAGGGATACATGATGGGTGGAGTGCCATATGGAATGAGGTAAAAAGGAGTGGCTGGAATGAGGTAGAAGGCGAACAATACAACACTAATATGAAAATAATTTAAGCCCCCCTCCCCTTCCCTGAAAAAAGAGCCCTCTATGTAATTTACAGTTTAATTTCATTACATTGGTTTGAAATTTTTCTTGTGGATTTTTTAAAAAGAAAAACTGATTTTTTTTTTATCAGCCGTTCAATCATTTTTTAAAGAGAATTTAAACTTAAAGAAAGCTTAAAATTCTATAAGAAAATGTTTTTTGCTTCCAGAGTCAGTGATGAATACGAGTCTTATGCGCGACCAGATGCCCATCCTGGTTTCTTCATGGACGGTCAGACAGTGGATGAATATGGCGCCCCCATTGATGACTACGGAACTGTCATGGTAGACCAGTATGGCCGCCCATTGGTTGATGATTATGGTCGTCCTATCCCACCTGAATACATCAACGGCATGAATGGAAACGCAGAGCCAGATTCTTACATGCAGTATGGGGGATACAGATAGTAGAAATGAAAGTCTGACTTTTCTGGAAATCTGGATATTTGGGTGGTTTATTTATTCCACAAGACCCATCATATGGAGCTGCCAAACCCTCAGCACTTGTATTTTCAGGATTTTTTTAAAAAAGGGTCTCAGAAGGTAGAAGACTGGTGGCTGACTTTTTTTTATGATTCGACCAGGGATTGTATTAGCCCAAAGACTCTGGAAATAATTCTTTGAGGGGTTGAATGCAAGTTGTCCTTTTTTGATTGCAGCGAAGACACAGTGTTGTGCTGTGTGTGTAACCAAGAGGCCTCGGTCTCTTGCCTTGCAGAGGTTCATGTGGTCAAGTGAGGTAGAAGTGGTCAAGCGATTAGTGTGAAATTTCCGTGAATCTGATTGGCCAGGAGACTCATGTGACATGGTATTTACCAAGTCAAACTCTTTGGATAATGATGTAAAATGTGAGCTGTTGTTAGGGCCCATGCTAAAAAAAAATAGAAAGGGTGTAGGGGCAGTACCACCAAGTTTTTTTTTCTTGATTTTCTTTTCTTGCTTTTTATCTTGTCATGTACTGACTGTAAATCTACACAACTGAAAAGAAAACAACCAGAAAAAAATGTCAATGGGTAAATTCTGTCAGCTGTTCTTCATTGCCATGTCTAACAAATCTTGGTTAACTCCCATCAATAAATCCCAGATTTTAATAGCATTGCCTATGGATTGAGAGTTATTATTATTTTCATTTTTGTCATCGTTTTTTTTTTTTTTTTTTTTTTTTTTTTTGCATGCATACTTACAGGATAACAAAAAGGACTACTTATGTGCCGTTTGCATTGTATGATAAGCGTGCACAGGGAAGCTTTTTATGTATAATACTATGTACATATAGTAACTCCTTTAAGAATATGAATGTTAAATTATGGAAGTCTGAGAAATATTTGCTCAAGCATTCTTATCCTTTTAGGCTGCTTTTGTACAAAATGTACTTAATAGTGTATGTATATGAGATATGTAATTTTTTGTTCACCAGCTGTGATGGTTTTGTATCAGTTCTTTTAATACAACTGAATTTTATGTTACATAATTATAAGTTAAACTTATTTTCATTTCTTCATATCAGTCGCGTCCGTCCTTTGTTTTCACACGTAGCATTATGGTTTTGTTTAGTAAATGTAAAGTTTTTGCTAGTTTCTTAAGAAAATGAAGCATAAAAAAACTTATTTTTTCCAATGTAATTTAGATATTTGATTTAACATGTTGATTATTTATTTGGATGTCCTTTTTGACCTAAAAATTAGTATTTTCTCTTATAATTGGAATAGTACTGAAATGTGTTTTAAACCTGTACTTGGCTCTAAATGTAGAAAATAAAGTGACACATGTTAAATGTAAACAAGGTACTTCATTCAATTTACAACTTCAAAATCACTAGTGAAGCACTTTAAAGACATATAATTTCACACATTTTATTGACATTATCTAAAAACTTTAATTGCATCTTATATATGCAAAATTTATACCTTAAGGTACACTGTGTAACAATATTGCACATTAATTTCGTTCTTGTTGCACATTGTGTCAGCACCTGGTGCTGGTAATCTAGCAATACACATAATCTGGTAGTAAACTGACTGGATAAAATTGTTTTACAAATGCTTTGATAAATACAGTAAAGAATATTCTAATTTTATATATAAACAAAAGAACAACAGATAATAATAATAACTTGATTGCAGCGGTAGTTGAATTTGAACTTTAAAAATGTACAAAGAAAATTGAAAAATTCCTAAAACAAGTTGGTATTACGACAAATTTAATTCCCATCACTCTAGTTTTGCTATGTAGTGATGTCCAAGGGTGGTAAGTATAGTCAATGAAAACATTTCAAATGCAAAGAAAACTTTAAAAGAGTATTAAGATAATGAAAAGAAACCAGTTTTATCCTAAAACTAGTTGCTATATCACGAAATTTGCATGGGCACCTATCAATTTTTTCATCTAATTCTGACTTACGTACTGAAGAGCATGCATGTATAGGAGATATGGACTATGAACACATTTCATCTGTCAAGAAAAAGAAAATAAAGGAAAAAACAATTAAATTTTCCATAGGTTTATACTGTAATTGAATTCATTTCTAATCATTACAGAAAAATAAAACATGGGTACCGTACTTATCAATGCAAGATGACTATTATCATAATTTTAAGAAAATGACTTTTTTCTTTCTAAAATATTAAATTCTCAAAAATGGCTTTTTACATGACTAAAACAACTGGTAATCCCTGTGAATAATATGCAATTAACTAAAACAATATTTTACATGTGGAAGGTAACTAGGCATTTATATTCAAAGATTTGAAATACTTTGACGTGGACTGATAATTCATCAAATATTGCTTAGATAGTGAAGTTAGTTTTGATTCGGATTATTAGTCCAAGTGATCAGTTGGCTGAAAAGATGCTGGCAGTATTTTAATACCAGAAGCTTTGGTAAAGATTCCAAAAGCTGGTGTGCCTAAGATGATCAAAGAAATAAAATCAGAAGTTTAAAGTCTTCCAGATAATATGTACAAAGTGGCTCTCTTGAATTGTTCCTTTTGGCTAAGCCAGAGAGAAAATCTTGAACTACATTTTGACATGCAGTTACATTGATGATATAATTAATGTGATAAATCTGTGTAAAAGAAGCTTCTTGCATTTGATTGTCTAGCTTATTTTTCTCAGAGATATACCCTAAGAAAGTTACAAAACAACTTTTGTTCATAGTGTTTGAGTTCATCTAAGATCCCAATCATAGTAATTTTACTCAAATCACTTTGTTCATAAAGTTTGTGTCTTTCTTTGAAGGATATTTACATCACATGCAACTGGACATCAGTCAAGTTGGTTTGAGTCGACTTTCACTGTTGTTAATCACACACCAGTCTAGGTCATATATATATATGTTGTCCAAATGGGGTCGTAGCAATAGCCCGAAGGTTCCTTGGACCGAATGTTTACTATAGAAAATTCAGACCAATGAACCCTTGATCAAAAAACCTATGAAAATGTTACCATTTTTGCACCAATGAAAATTCGGACCATTGAGACTCCCTGTCCACATTATATCATACACCAGTCAAGTTTGTGTTTTTCAACATCTGGATATCTGCTACATGTTACCAATGTTATCAGCATCATTGGGTCACAGTCACCAGACAGTAATGATACAGTAACAAGACATGTTATCAATGTTGTCAACATCATTGGGTCACAGTCACCAGACAGTAATGATACAGTAACAAGGCATGTTACCAATGTTATAAGCATCATTGGGTCACAGTCACCAGACAGTAATGATACAGTAACAAGGCATGTTACCAATGTTGTCAGCATCGTTGGGCCACAGTCACCAGACAGTGATGATACAGTAACAAGACATGTTACCAATGTTGTCAGCATTGTTGGGTCACAGTCACCAGACAGTGATGATACAGTAACAAGACATGTTACCAATGTTGTCAGCATCATTGGGCCACAGTCACCAGACAGTAATGATACAGTAACAAGACATGTTACCAATGTTGTCAGCATTGTCAACTTACTGGTGCACAGTGTCCACATGGCCTTCCTCATATAACAACAGGACTTATGGCCTGGAAAGAGAAAACAAGAAGAATTTACAGTAAGATAATAAATACTGATCTCATGTGTGTCTTCTTTTATGTCAGCCTTTTATATCTGAAAGCAAGATATGAAAGCAATAGGAAAAATCTTGAATAAACTATCAATTCAGACTTTTTTTCATTTAAAGAAATGGCCCTTTTAGGAATCATAAAGTAATACAACATCAGATAGCCTGAATCCGCAAATCATGAACACTGTATTAAAACATATATATCCTCTCTCTTCATTTACAGAAAAGTGATTCATCACCTTTTTAGCTTTTCTGCTAGGAACCCCTGTCCATTCTTCTCCAGGCATCTACATAGATATTTGAATGCCCTCTCCTCTTTGGTTAGCAGTATGTTGAGCAGTGTTCTTGTCTGTTCAGGAGACACCTCACTGGCTGCTGCTGCTGCCCCCTTAGCTTCCTCTGTGTCCCCAATAGATGGCTTAGAATGTACATACTCCTTCTCTCTGTCAGTGATTACCCCTTCTTGCATCAGCATGTCCAGCAGGTAACTCAGGCATGGCTTGGTAATGTTGTGGACCAGCAGCTCCATGTGCTGTTTCAGGGCATGCTTTTGGTGGGGTTTCATGGCTGTTTCAGATGAAGACGGGAATAACTAGTTCTCATAAAGTGTAGACTACAGTATATGTGAATCAAAACAGCTACTTATGGGTAAGCTTTTTCTCTTTATCCTTTGAATTTAGAATTTTAATTTAAAAACGTGAGAAGCAAGGCACATTTTAACAATTAATATAATTAATTATTTTCCCATCTGCACCTATGTTAAAAATAAAATGCCATCTAAGATGCTGATCTTTGAAAAATAACTTATATTTCATTTTTTAAAAATATTTTTGAAGCATGCGCATGCCAGTGAAGTAAACACCATAACATAGGCTGGGACATAATATGGGCATAAATAATGTGACAAATAGTTTTACCTGGCATATTGGGACATATTAAGTTAGCTGGTATCATTTTTCCAGTATTCCAACATGGCACCAAGTCGGCAGTCGTGGCTGGGGGCTGGTCAATCACTTCACCAGGGAACAGGGTTGGGGTATCTACATCTAGACTTGTACAGTGAGGACACACCAGGTACTTGTCACATGGTAAGCCAGGCCAATCTTCCTCCAGGATATTCATGAGGTGGTCATGGTTTTGGAGCAGTGTTCTCCACAGGTCTGGGATATGTTGACCTCGAACAGCAATGGTAATCACCCAGTCTTTGTCCGTCTGGCTTCTGGTCATTTGCATGTACTGTGACCCCATGTCCACAAATACCCCATCTCTCCAGTCTCTCCTCATAGGCTGATAGAGTCCAAGGGTAGAATGAAGGCGCACAGATAATTTCTCATATAGTCCATCTGGACAGCCATATGGGAAATACACATTTAGGGTAACCTGTATAGTGTTCGCAGGTACGGACTTTGGCCACTCGGTGTCCATGGTTGAAGGGCGACTGAGTTCAAGCAGCCATGGGAAGTGAAATGTGGCGCCATTTTTGCCCTCATTCACCTTGAAGCATAACTCTAGCCTCTGCATGAGCTCCACCATTGCACTGGCTTCCCTGTCTGTCACACCGAATGGTTTCCACATGGCCTCCATCACCTGCTCAGAGACAATCCCTCTCATACTGAAATCTTCTCTTATTCTCTCTGCCATGGGCTCACTGACAGACATTTGTCCTAGAATTTCTTTGAATTCACCCTTATCATGGTTGAGCACTGCCTTCAGGAGATCAGCTAGAACTTCCTGCCTATGGAAGATGGTGTTTCTTAGAATGGGATTGTTTGGATACCAGATGATGTCACCTCTGCTGACAAGGAAGGCAAGAATATCATTTGCAATGTCATCAGTCTGTTGACGTAGCTTTTTCATGAAGTATAGAGCAACATTCCGTACACTTACAGAGTTTTTTATTTCCTGCTTCACTATGTCACCACCAAGTGTGTTTTCAGTTTTCTTTTCCCTTTTGGAGCAGATTGTCATTGCTGCCTTGTGCCAGGTCTTTGGGAGGGTAATACTACTTTCCCTTGCTTGGGTAGCAAGGTAATCTGTAAGGGGTCTAAAACCTGCTTGGGTTTTGGAACTCAGCATGAAAATGTGAGGATGAATTTTTGACTTTTCATATCCACTTGCATTGTCCAATGATTCTATCTTCTTTCTGTATGCCGTAATCAGGACTTTGGTTTTGTCTTTCTGTAAGGCTTGTATTCTTTCTTTGAGATCTCTATTTTGCTTGTGGCACCACTCTTGCCTTTTTCTTCTTTCATCTGCAATTGATTTTTGGATAGATGCACGGACATTTTCTCCAGTTGCCTCATCAATTTTATCAACATGTGTACCAACCAAGGCAATTTTTACATCTGGATTGTGGGAATGCACCATGTCTATCCAGATTCCTATATGTCGCCTGAAATGTGATCTGCTGCAGGGGTCATAGGTCGACAGGTCAAAGGTGACAAGAACTATACTGTTCTGTGAGATGAAAATACTGTGTCCAACTCTATACACATCATGACCTCCAAAGTCATTGATGTTAAAGCTGATGCCCCCTTCAATTTCCCACTCTGACTGCTCCACAACTCTAGTTCTGTCTGCTAGCTCAGTCAACATAGGTATCCTGTGTCTCAGGGAGCGCGCCAAACTGGTTTTCCCACTCTCTGTCTCACCAAGGAAGTTTAACTGCAATCTGCAAGACTGGACTGCTTTTGACTCCCTGAGTTCTGTTAAGTATCTCAATATTGCATCTTTTCCTTTCCTACACACAGAGTAGGGAGGTTGCTGAATGGGGTTAGCATCCACAACTAGGTTTTCAAGAAGTGGTAGTGAAGAAAGCTGATGGGGTAAACATGCAATATTATTATGGGAAAGGTTCAAACTCTTCAGTGTGGTGACATTACTGATATCAGAAGGAAGACTGGATAGCTTGTTATACCTGAGGTCCAGGTGCTCTATATGTGGTAGAGCAAACACTGAGGCTGGGAGCTCTGCAAACTGATTGAACCCAATGTTTAAACTCTTCAGGGTGCTCATCTTTCTGACATCAGAAGGGAGACTGGATAGCTTGTTACCCCCTGCTTTCAGGTTCTCTATACGTGGAAGAGCACACAATGAGGCTGGGAGCTCTTTGATCTGATTCCCCCTGAGGTTCAAAAATTTCAGTGAAGTCATCTTGCAGACATCAGGAGGGAGACTGGATAGCTTGTTGCCCCATAAATTCAGGTTCTCTATATGTGGTAAAGCACACACTGAGGCTGGGAGCTCTGTGATCTGATTTCCCCCAAGGTTTAAACTCTTCAGTGAGGTCATCTTGCTGATATAAGGAGGGAGACTGGATAGCTTGTTATATGGTAGTTTCAGGTGTTCTATATGTGGTAGGTCACATATTGAGACTGGGATCTCTGTGATCTGATTCCACCCAAGTTTCAAACTCTTCAGTGTAGTAACCTTGCTGATATCAGTAGGGAGACTGGATAACTTGTTACCCCTGAGGTTCATGTTCTCTATATGTGGTAGAGCAAACACTGAGGTTGGGAGCTCTGTGAACCGATTCCACCCAAGGTCTAAACTCTTCAATGTGGTCATCTTACTAATATCAGGAGGCAGACTGGATATTTTATTATTCGGGAGCTTCAGGTTCTCTATATGTGGTAGAGCACACACTGTGGCTGGTAGCTCTGTGAACTGATTGAAGCTGAGGTTTAGATGTGTAAGATTTTTTAATTTGAACATCGACCTAGGAAGTGTCTTCAGCTTGTTATGTTCAAGATTGATCTTTTTGAGATTGGTACATCTATCAATGGTGCTGGGAATAAATTGGATGTCCCTATTTTTTAGTTCCAACTCTGTACACTGGGTGACTGGGTCCGGCACTGGTGTTGGGTCATCTGCTGGTCTTCTCTCCAACTCTAGTAGAATGTCTAATACCTCCACACCTCCTTTAACTTCTGCAGCCATGGTTCACTCTCTTGTACACTCAAGATAGCCCTGTGTATTTTACATAACTGGAGGGGATTATGTTTAAGCACTGACACAGAATAAGGAGGAATTAATAGAGGTGTTTTTGCAATTCTGCTCTGCTCCTGTAGTCCCATTTCCTTTCTAGGAGGGCAAGCAAGAAAGAAGAAAATAACAATGGCACAAGCAATTAAGGAAACCCAAAAAAATCCGCAAATAATAATATTAATAACTACAGGATCAGAGAGGTGGTTCCACCTCCAGGTATTGTACCACCAGCTGGAGCAAGCGCATTTGCGGGAGAACAACAAAAAGGGGGCACCATCTTCAAAATGCAGTTAACAAGAAATTTATAGAGAAAAGTAAAAGGTCAAACCATAAGAGTTCATGGCGAAAAATAGGTAAAAGATCAAATTGAAGGTCCCGGGAGGACTGTCAATATATAAGTTCCTATTCAAGGTCAGTAGTATCTTAATTATTGGCATATCTGAAAAAGTTGCAAAGTTCAGTTCATGGTGAAGAGTATTTCACAGTCAAGGTCACATAAATTGCCAGTACAGTATATGACTTAATCCTATTGAAGTTCAATAGTTACTATGCCATTTTTGGAAATGTAAGGGACAGAAAAGTTGCAAAGTTTAGTTCATGGTGAAAAGTAGGTCAAAGGTCAATTTCAAGGTCACATTTAGATTGCCAGTATATGACTTCCTGTTCAAGTTCAATAATAATTTTGGACGTTTTTCTGCTAATTTTGGAGTTATTTCAAATTTTATTAGATATAGCGCAATTTGTAAACTGTATGGTAACCAAGAAAGATGGACATATCTTCCAGTGCTGTGCTTGAAAAGCTCTGTTCAAGGCAAAAAAAAAAGACAAGAGGTCTCAAGCATTTACGGTTCCAGAATATTAATTAGAGAGAGTTTGCAGTTTCGGCGTGAAAATGTACCAATTGACCCCAAACTCACAATGATGAAAGGTGACCCTAAGTATAACACCTACCCATAATATTATAGGTATAAGGGCAGTGTAGTGTCTGAAAATCGGCACAAATAATTTTTTTTGCAAAAAATCCCATTTTTAGAATATTTTGGCCTGTTTGACCTTGAAATAAAGACTAAAGGTCAAATCCAAAGGTATATTAATTTGGGATCTCCACATATGACTTTCGGTCAGCCATCTATAGAAAATCCTCCCATAATTCCTCCAGTTTGGGAGACATTTAGCAAATTTTGGATAAATGTGTATTTAGATAAGGGTGTAGTCTAGGAGGAGAAGCGGTAAAGGTAAATGTAGGCGGAGCCGGCGGATAAGACAGGTCAGGACTAAAAACGTGTGTACCGCCAGCGCCTACCCAAAGGTTGAAGTTTTACAAATTAGCATAAAAAAATCATACGGGTATTTAAAAGCATAAATGAAAAGACCAAAGCTTTTTAAAAAAACAAGACTTACATGTATAAGACAATTTGGAGCAGTATTTTACATGAAATTTCAAAGACTGCATATTATAAAGGATGTTTTAAAGCACTCTGTTTTCACTCTTGGTATTAAAAATTTGTTGCTGACCCTGAGATTTCTTGGATTCTTTTCTTTAAACAGATGGTGTAACTTATTAAAATTCTTGATTTTTTGTAAAAAAGTTCTTAAATAAAATGTCTCTTCTCTCCCTCAAAGAGATGAGATTACTAGCTTGAAGGGTATCCTTGTAAGTATAAAATGGGTAAATAATTCCAAGAGCTCTCCTTTGAACAGATTCTAAGCATTCACATTGATCGGCTGTAAGACCAAGCTCCCACACAGGGCATGCATAGTCTCCTTCACTTTGTTCATATATTCGTAAGATGTCTTGGTCAAAAATTCAATAACATTTCTGTCTAAAACTGTTGATCTCACAAAAAATATTATATCCAATGCTAGATACGTTTTTGATTAATATAAATACAGAAAAATTGCAAAACATGATTTGAAGACCATTTTACCCTGCTACATCCCTTAAAACTATTTTTATTGAATTGATAATGTTAAAATAAGCTCAAGGAGTAAGAATTTGTGCGTAAAAATTCTAATTTTTAAGTTATTCAGATGCTGCTACCCTGAGTGTCAGAGCAACGTAAAAATTAGCTTGTAAATATTAAATATACCTTGGAGTCATTTAATTTTACTAGCTGATATGGGTTATATATGAAATCAAAAGCGAGCTGACAATACCGGAATCTAGAACCTAGGGTAGATGCTGCCTTCCCCTCAGATAATTGCATTTACTAATTAAAAAACAATTTCACATTAACCATAATGCTTCAGGTTAAACTACCTTTTGAAAGAAATTTAAATCAACCGAAGGTTCATTGGTCCGAATATTCACTATAGAAGCTTGGGACCAATGAACCCTTGATTAAAAAATTCGATGAAAATGTTACCACTTTTCGGACCAATGAGCCTTCGGACCAATGAACCTTCAGACTATCGAGACGCCCCCATTTTGAAAACTAAAATCATATTTAGTTATCTGTTTTCTCACCATATTTAACTTACCTCCCTATTCCGATTGTACCAGTGACAGTGACTTTTGGCAATTTAATTAAAATTTTTCTGGGATTTGCATCAATGACAGCATGTTGTGCCTGTCATAAAAATTCTGATTGATCATGTCAAAACAGTCATCACATCTCGAGTGGAAATGAAATATTTCTCTTTTTCTTTTCATCATCATGATATTCCCTTGTCCTGCTACATTATGATAGTATCCATCTCCTGCTGTATTAACGTAGGTGAATGGATTTATTGTTCCTTCAAAGAGCAGATCCCTGTTATCAATGTCCACCCACTGATACGCAGTCTTAGCCTTCCTAAATGAAATGATTAGATGAAACAACTTCACAAGATAGATAGCTGCTACTAGTAACATTTATTGTCTTATATAGAACCATGAGATAAGATTTAACTAGCTGTTACGTGGTTCAATGTCTAAGAGGCCTACGTGCATGACAGCAGGCTCAAATTTACATAAGTCATAGAATAAGATAACAGAAGAGAAAAATCTATTTTCTTTTTGATTTATATTTTCAGTTTTTATTATTAGGGGCAGGGTGAATGATATCAAAACTAATCAAGCCATGAGGGCAATAGTAGTAACGAATCCATAACGATGGGTCGTGTGGTGGTGGATTACATGAAGAACCTGTTAAATAAAGGAGGTATTGTTTTGGCATCTTTATCTGTCAGAATGCATTAAAAGCCAGTAAAGGACGCATTGTTTTGTAATTTTTATCATACAAAGTAAATATGATCTTGCTCAGCTGATTAAGTTCAAAATGCATTGTAAAGTAATAAGTGGTTCTGTGGTGTTGAAAACTAGGGACAACATTAAAGCTTACATGTACATGTACGGTGCTCCCTGGCCTGAGATTGATAAATTTTTAAAAAATCCAAATTTTATTTTGGAGAACATTGTACTGCATCTAAGCTGACTGCAGACTGTGCAGCATAGAAATTTGCATTTCTTGGCCATGTTACAACATTTTAAGAGAAATTTTCAGTAATGACATTTTTTTTTGGGGGGGGGGGGGGTAACATTTTATTTCAATATCTGAATAAAATTTTTAAATGTTCTTTTTTACATTTTATTTTAATATTTGATAAAACAAATTTTAAATTATTCATTTGTCTACCAGATATATCTTGCTCCTCTATCATTTCCTCATATTCAAATTAATAGTCAATTACTCATTTGTACTTTCTTGCATGAGTTTCAATATTTAAAGAAAAGAAAAATAATTTCCAGCAATGCTTAAGGTTTTTTTTCTAGTTTAACATTTTATTTCAATATCTGAATAAAATTGTCAACTAATTTTTAAAATATTTTACTGATTTTTCAACATTTTATATCAATACTTGAACAACCATTTTTTGATCCATTGGTCTAGCAAATATCTTTCTCGTCACACAGATGGAAGTGACTCCCCCACTTAATTCCAAGCAATGTTCAAAATTTTCACCTCTTCTCTGTCTCAAAGACTGGAGAATGTGGCTCTTTATAAAAGTCAATATTTTCATTGTCTACATTCATATACAGATGCTTTCTGTCTCAAAGACTGGGACATGGAGCTCTGAGTTCATATGGTCTCAATCATGAAGGTTTCTCCTCTCCTCTCTGAAGATGGGATCATGGAGCTCCTTACACAGAGGTCCTAGTTTCCTCTCCCTGAAGGTGTGGTGTCCGTGGAGGTAGACCAGGTAGACCAGGAACAAGATCCCCAGCAGTACAGTGCCGCCACCTAGGTTTATCATGTACATCACGGGGTACGGGATAGGTGACCCAATCACATACACCTGGATATAAAACAACAGACATTTTGTGTGGTGTTAATTTTCGCTGTGTTAAAGTTACATATCATAGGTCTCACCTTAAAGACTTGGACAAGCTCCATTTTCTCCGTTTTACTTCTTCAAGGGAACAAAAAAGTGCAAATTTAAAGCCAAAGTTATTTAAAAGACATGCAGTGATGGGAGTTATATGAATATTTTCTAGTCTTAGGCTTCGTTCACATGCAATGTCTATTTTCTAAATTCTATTTTCTATTCGCGGCATGTCTTATGATCAGGGTCTGTGCTCTGAATATCCCGCGGCGTAATTACTGGCAGCGCGAGCCAGTAACTTATAGTAACTTATAGTAACTGGCTCGCGCTGCCAGTAATTACGCGGCGGGATATTCAGTGCACAGACCGTGATCATAAGACATGCCGCAAATAGAAAATAGAATTTAGAAAATAGACATTGCATGTGAACGAAGCCTTAGTCTGCTGTGAATGAGGCCTTAGGGACAATGTGAAGCCTTACCTGCAATTCAGCCTCCAGGTCACAAAAAGACATCCCATGTATCAAAGAGGGCCAATATGAAGTCTTACCTGCAATTCAGCCTCCAGGTCACAAAAAGACATCCCATGTATCAAAGAGACTCTCATGTGATACAAACCAGTACCCTGAAACAAATTCATTGACAAATATTGTACTCCTCTTTCCAGATTCAAAATGGAATGCAGGTATATCAGAGAGATCTTTAAAGTTAAATATCAATAAGAAAACTTATCTGTTTGTTATTAAATCTGCCTCTTCTTAAATGTAACACAATCACTGAGATCTAGAAAACATATTTTTAAAAAATCAAAAAACTTGACTGAAGCAGTCCTTAATTCTTTTTTTTTCATCAGAAATGTAGAAGTGCAAGAAGAGGTCCATTCCATTTATTTAGAACATGGTCTTGATTCTCTTTATTATTGTTAACCTTGGAATACTTACAGTAAGAATGAGCTCTGTTCCCTCGGCAGCATACCATATGGTGGAGTTCTTGATCTTATCGTAATGTCTGATGTGGGTCAACATAGGAGTCATTGTAGCTAACAGAACAAGACTGGCAATATTATTATGTAAGACTGGCAATATATGTATGGTGCTTCGTATTGTCATTTGAAAAAGAAAATTGTTGACACACACAAATAAACTAAAAAAAGTCATCACTAATATAAGGGCCCCAAGTGGATTAAGTTCATTGCATATATGTGAAGAAATAATCTTAATTACGTTATGGCACGAAAATTAATAAATGCAAACAAAGAAGTGAAATGATCATTCAATACATTTATCTCTTTTTTACATCTCAAACTGGATGAAATAAGTAATCAACTGAGAACTCATATCATCTCTAATTTGGGCCATAACAAATCACTGCCGACCACTTACTAGAGACAGAGTAGTCCACCCTGTCATTGAGTTCATATACCCTGTAGATGTAAGGTTCCCGGAGAAGACGTTCTGGCTTTCCTTCCTGTACAATGCTAAAGTTCAGGTCTAGATGGGCTGGGTGATGTAAGCTATAGACCTGGAATAAAAAGATGGGTATACATTCAATATCTATAGCACCGACAACCTAAATAAACATTTATGTTTTAAGTGGAAAATTTTGTGAAGTTTGGAATTGGTTGGTGAAGACAAAATTTTGAGAATTGAATGTTTGGTGAGAATACAATATTGTGCTGTATAGAATATGTTAGGTGAGAATACAACATTGTGCTGTATAGAATGTGTTAGGTGAGAATACAACATTGTGTTGTATAGAATGTGNATGTAGATGTGCAAGAAGAGGTCCATTCCATTTATTTAGAACATGGTCTTGATTCTCTTTATTATTGTTAACCTTGGAATACTTACAGTAAGAATGAGCTCTGTTCCCTCGGCAGCATACCATATGGTGGAGTTCTTGATCTTATCGTAATGTCTGATGTGGGTCAACATAGGAGTCATTGTAGCTAACAGAACAAGACTGGCAATATTATTATGTAAGACTGGCAATATATGTATGGTGCTTCGTATTGTCATTTGAAAAAGAAAATTGTTGACACACACAAATAAACTAAAAAAAGTCATCACTAATATAAGGGCCCCAAGTGGATTAAGTTCATTGCATATATGTGAAGAAATAATCTTAATTACGTTATGGCACGAAAATTAATAAATGCAAACAAAGAAGTGAAATGATCATTCAATACATTTATCTCTTTTTTACATCTCAAACTGGATGAAATAAGTAATCAACTGAGAACTCATATCATCTCTAATTTGGGCCATAACAAATCACTGCCGACCACTTACTAGAGACAGAGTAGTCCACCCTGTCATTGAGTTCATATACCCTGTAGATGTAAGGTTCCCGGAGAAGACGTTCTGGCTTTCCTTCCTGTACAATGCTAAAGTTCAGGTCTAGATGGGCTGGGTGATGTAAGCTATAGACCTGGAATAAAAAGATGGGTATACATTCAATATCTATAGCACCGACAACCTAAATAAACATTTATGTTTTAAGTGGAAAATTTTGTGAAGTTTGGAATTGGTTGGTGAAGACAAAATTTTGAGAATTGAATGTTTGGTGAGAATACAATATTGTGCTGTATAGAATATGTTAGGTGAGAATACAACATTGTGCTGTATAGAATGTGTTAGGTGAGAATACAACATTGTGTTGTATAGAATGTGTTAGGTGAGAATACAACATTGTGTTGTATAGAATGTGTTAGGTGAGAATACAACATTGTGCTGTATAGAATGTATTAGGAATATGTTAGGTGAGAATACAACATTGTGCTGTATAGAATGTGTTAGGTGAGAATACAATATTGTGCTGTATAGAATGTCTTAGGTGAGAATACAATATTGTGCTGTATAGAATGTCTTAGGTGAGAATACAACATTGTGCTGTATAGAATCTGTTAGGTGAGAATACAACATTGTGCTGTACAGAATGTGTTAGGTGAGAAAACAACATTGTGTTGTATAGAATGTGTTAGATAACAATACAACAAACCCATGAGCTCACCCTTTCCTTGCAGTCAGAAAACTTGACCAGGTTAGACAACTTCATGGCCCTGGTGCAGCCACACTCATCTCTGGTTGTCTTTCCTGCACACTGCTTGTATTTCCCAGACTGTTTTGATATTTGATATGTATTCTTTTCCCTAGGTTTGCTGGGGTCGGCATGGTACATGTTAGCTGTCAGGGGGATGGCTATACCGAGCTGGGATGGAGGGCGGTAGTTTGGCTGAAAAAAATGTCCATACAATCTATGATTATTTGACATTTTAATCCTGAAATGTGTTTTAATTTAAAATTTCTGAACATTTAGAATATTTCTTTTAAAGAACAATGTATTTCTGTTAAAGTCATATGTGAAGGGAAATTATAATGTTTGAAACAGTGCATATTTTGTTCATACATGATGTGCTGAAATTTCTTTTAAAAACTTTATCATGCAAAGGGGTACTTGTGCCAAGAAATGTTTAGACTCCAGATAAATAGCTTGAAGAAAATACCAAGTAAATCTAAAATTAGCCTACCGGAAGGTCAGAAAGCAGTTTTATCCCCTTGGCATCTTGTGGATCCCCTGTTAAGTAATCCTCATCAGAGATGAATGTAGGGTAGTGAAAAACCAAGAACTTGTTGCCAGGACAACACGCCTGTGCAGTGACAGTGTATGATGTCTTCTCACACAGCAGCGAGGCAGTAGGTATGTAGAACGTCAGGGTAGTCACACCCTATATAGTAATTGGGAAATGTGTTATATATAAGTACTGAATAATTTATAATTAAGTATTTATATAATAAATGCTATCATAAGATATTTCAAATATCATGCCAAACATTCTCAAACATATTATATATCAAATTACTGCAACAACATAAATTTCTAAATTTCATTACTGTCAGTACATGTCACTCCCTAACACTTTTAAGTTTCTCTTCTATTTCTCATTATTTTTTTAACTTTTCCAAACCTTTCTAAATTCCTCGTTTTCTAACAGGACAGAGAGTCCAGATCCTTTGACCAAGGACTGCGTATGTGTGGCAAAAAGTATGGCATTAGAACTGGTCACTTCCAGCAGTGACCCATACTGCTCCTCTTGACCAACTGACATATAGGAGTAAATACACCATATGTGAATTAATTATTGTAACAAAATTTTATTACTTTTTATCAATATTCTAAAGTATTACCATGAAAAGATACAGAAAAATGTCATCTTGCACAAAAAATCACATGAGAAAAATAAAGAAGTTGCAATATAAAATGAAAATTATGCTGAATGGAAACCATCATTACAATATACTATTCAACCAAATGAGTATACAATTTTTAAAAAAAATAATACTTCAGTTGCTGACCAACCTGATGTTATAAACTCAACTTCAGCTTTGACAGTGAAGTTATCTCCCAAGTCCAGAGCTACCACAGATCTGCTGTTTAGCTTGGTATCTGTCATCAGAGCATGGCGACATCTGTCCTCTTTCACATACCAGGCAGACTGAGGATTAGTGAAGGAACAACAAGGTTAATACATGAATACATAAATAAACAAACTATGTTTCTGTGGCAGCAGGGGGTTCAACCTTTAAATACTCATCATGTCAATACCATCTCCAGTTTCCTTAATAATCATTGACATCCCACCTCATGCAAACCTTCATCTTCTACATGTAAGTCCCAGTCCTCCCAGAAAGACAGACATACAGTGCACACACACACACGCATACACACACACAGGCACACAAGCACACACACACAAAGATGTACAAACACACTCACAAACACACACACACGTACACAAGCACACACTCACCTCACTGCTGCTATTTCCCAGGTTCATCATATACCAGGCCCTGGTGAGCACCTGAACCTCCTCTCTCACAGCCAGGACAGGATGACCAGTGGCCACCGTGTCATTGACCACATCCAGTATAAGGACATTGGGGTGACCAACTACAATGGCCGTCTTTCCGATGTCACTTGTTACCCAACCTGTGCTGTTTTCTGAGTGTCAAAAGAAAGGGAAATGCATTTACATGTGAGATGTCTGTGTGTGTGAAGTTCATAGTGTGTGTGTGTGTGTGTGTGTGTGTGTGTGTGTGTAAGATCATCAATGTGGAATGGTCACAATGCACAGTGCCTGAATTAAATTTCCTAATCTACCCAGCTGAAATGGACAATAAAGACTCATCTAATCTCAACAACAGAAGATTATAGTATACTTGAATTTCAGTCTTCTTACAAGTTACTTAATATATCTAAATTTGACCAGCCACAGAGGGAAGTGATTATTACCAAGGCCACCTGTCAGTGTCAGCATGACCTCAGAACCATTGGTATTCACTGGAACAATTCCTGGAAAATTACACAAAAAGTTGCTTTATCTCAATTAGCTTATCAACAGACTTTTGGTACTGAAAATGTCAGATGTTTTATATATAACTTTAAAATAAGGGGTATACATGTATATTTTCTGAAATTATATGCAAATCAAAATGAAAAAATAAAAAACCTTTGTCTAGCTGTTTTAATTTCAGACACTAATGGATCTTTCAGGGCATATGGAATGCTGTGACAAAATACAGGTGATAATTCATTCACCTGTTATAGCATCAGTACTTAAAAATAACAGGTAATTAGGACGAAACATCAAAAACAATTTGAAAATTAGGATATAAACCTAAGTTGAATGCTTGTGCTGGAGATTCCCCCATAGATTCATGGTGGAAGGGTTCCCTCACTCTCAACAAAACTCTGCTAACAAAGCCAGACCATGGCTCAGCAGGATAGATCACATGATGGATTATACCACTGCCACCCTTCCTGAAGAAGAACATTTCAAAAATAAAGTTTGGTGAAAAATGCCCCCTCCCGTTTAAGTTATGGCAAGGCTGAAATAATGTGCTTATGGAGGTCACATGGTCCAATGGAAAGAACAGATTTCAGAATACTGTCCTTTTGGCTGTAAAATAAAATACTTTCTCTATGAGTTGTTTACTATATATTTTTGTGAAATATGAATCTCGTAAAAAGAGTTGTTATGCTTTTTATAAGGATAATGACATTGTGCAATTTCATACTTGGTGGCACTGCTATACTTTCAATTTTAACGTAACAGCCATAAAACTCTTACTTCAGACTAAAAGCTTGGCCAACATTGGAATCAGAAAACCTGGGCACTGCTTGGGTGGGTATCTCTCCTTCTGCCACATGTTCAAAAATGACCACCTCACTGTCACTCAGATACTGGATGGCCAGTGGGCGGCTGAATGACCAATCTAGACTCTGAAACACACGCACAAATTATTTTATCAAAAAATGTCTTTTAAACAATCGCCAATTATATAAAAGACCTGTCACAACAAAATTCACAAAATTAAAAAGAAACAGACCATGCAAGAAATCATATATCCTGTTGGTGATAAAATATTTACTTAAAAGTTGTCTAAAATATTTCTGTTATGTTTGATGAACAGTTCAAATTGCTGTAATCCAGGTAGGGCTTTCTTGCCATATTTGGAAGTTGACCTAATTCTCCAGCCAATCCAATCTCACCATCATTTTCTGCTGGACATCAATTTTCTGTCTATGTAACTCCAATGTGCTGCTGTCCACCCACACTCTGTACATTGTTCCCACGTGACTGGCCTGTATTGTTGTGATGTTGGACTGCTCACTTTGTGTTGCCTCGTGAACTACTGCAAGTCTGGATATCCCTGTGGTAACAAGATGATTTTTTGTTTTACTTTGCTATCTTACAGCATTGTAGACACTTGTTGAAATAAGTTCTTCAGTTTGGTAAATTGACTGGATGGTAAATGGTTCTTTTTGTGACAAACTAACAATTTAAGATACTTATAAGAAGAGTTTCAATGTCACTCTGACGTCCCTCTTGAACAGCACTGAATGTGGCAGAAGAAGGCAGATTATGGGCAGATTACATTTCCTGTGTCAAAATTTCAATCTATTTGTCAGTCTTCATCAGCAGATCTACTGACCAACTTTGCACAGGTGTTATTGCCAAATTTACAATGAACATGTAAGTATCTTTCCGATTTGATAAAATGACAATATACAATGGATTCATTACCATACACCATACTAAAAATGAAAACGATTAAAACTTTAACACAGGGGAAGAAAGAAACATGGGGGCAGTACCGGAATGCCCCCCCCCCAACCCCCATCCCCGCCCACTCACCAGTTTTCCCATACAGGATGGTCCCAGTAGTGGTCTTCATCAGCAATGACCCAGTGTTATGACTGAACTGGACACTGTCCACTTGGCCGTGCTGACCACCCAGGGTTAACACATGTTGGAAGTGAGAGATCCCATTGTAAGACACCCACACCTAAAACATAGAAACAATTTATAGGTAAATAAACATTGGAGGATTTTCATTTTATGAAATTTGGCTATTAGCATAATAAACATGTTTTTTTTTACAGTGATAATATTACTAGTACCCAAAAAGCTGACTCAAAAAATTAAAATTCCTTGTTTCTTAATTTTCCTACCCTATCTATTATTTCTAAACCTCACTTTTTCAGAGAATCAGATGAAAGTGGATGTTTTTTAAGAACCTGGAAAACTCAAGTGTGAGGCAATATATACCTTTTACAAGAAAAAAATCACCCTATAACAGACCTGATTTCCCAGCACATAAAAATCACCATATAACAGACCTGATTTCCCAGCACATAAAGGACACCTGTGATGGGGTCAAAGGTCAAACTTTTCACTTGGAAGGTTTCAGGAAAAGTGAAAGGTGGGAAGCAATGGCCAGCATCAAATGCAAGGCTGCTATTCAGTAGGTATGTGGTAACTGTGTAGCTACCCATTCTCTGAAATCAAAGAGTGAAAGTATTATATCAATATGAAAGTGAAAATACATACAAAAGTGAAAGTGAAGCAAAAAAGTAAAAGAGCCATACAAAAGAGAGAGGAAAAGAGAAAATGGCTGATAAAAAGCAACAGTGGGAATCATAAAAAACAGGGGAAAAAATACAACTATTAATGAAAACCAAAAAGTTGGATGAATGCCAAGAAGTAAATACGAGTGACAGTTTGACATCTCTCTTGCACACACTGACAGCTTATTTATAGGACTGCAGACACTGACAGCTCATTTATAGGACTGCACACACTGACAGCTCATTTATAGGACTGAACACACTGACAGCTCATTTATAGGACCAGTTAGCAAGGTTGTACTGTAAACAGCATTCTCTCCTACTGTACCTCTGTGAGTGCAGAAATAGCACTCATGTGACTCTGATAGGTAACGTCCACCAGGCTTCCCACTTGACCACTCTGAATGCCTGACAGTGGTTTTGTCCAGTCTGTGAACGGTGCTTTACTTATCAACACCAAAGACTGAAAAGGTTTATTCTGAGAATGAATTTCTGAAGTTGAACAATTATGCAGCACGTGATAAATCATGACTGTTTAGGGTTGAATTAAGTAATAAAATATTTAATTACTATAACATGATAAGCATCTAATATATATATTCAGATTCTCTTAACCCATTTCGATTTTTTACTTGAATAAAAATGAAGAAAAACCGAAAGCACCCTTATAAATCTTATTGAAAAATAACTGCTCAATGAATGATGTAATGACATATATTAATAATGATGGGGGTATATCATCTGTAATTAACTGACACATGACAACAAGGAAACAACAAATTTTAACAATCAACTATTTGAAATAACAAAACAAAAACTTTATATATATTATCACATTTGCTCCTATAACAATATGTAACTGAAACAAAATAGCAGCTGCATAAATGTCATCAAATTCAATGTTCATAAGTAAACAGATCAAAATGTAAAAAAAAGTATGTTAACCTAAAATGCTTTTGAGATTTTAAAAAACAATTGAAAAGTTGTTGTTAGGTTTATTCAAACCTCTGAAGAAAGCTCAAAGGTAATATACCTCCAAAGAAGACGAGCTATTGTGAAGACATTTAACAAGTACTACATCATCTGAAAAATTTGAAACAGAATGTATGGCAACGTCAATACTTTTCCCTCTTTTTCTCAACATTTTCTACATCTCAATTTTAGATATAGCTAATGCTTCACGTGTACAGCATACTTTTAACAATTGTCATTATCCTACCTTTCACTTTTTCATCCAGTTGTCTTGAACACACTTCGCTGTAGTAAAGATGTGAAGATTCATCAGCAATACAGTGACTCTAAAATGCAAAATATACAAACACCCTTCAATCCAATAAAAACAAATAATAAAATAAATAATATATAACAACTTCTAGAACTACTCATCTTAGTCAATTAACAACTTTTAGAACCGATCATCTAAGACCCCATTCCTACAGATTTTAGATCAATCTATCCCTGTAGGGAGTCTCACTAGATTACTGCCAGCTTAGCCAGCTTATGCGTCTGTCCTGCCTACTAAAAGCTGTAAGGGGGTAATTATCCACTGTGCGTGCTCAGCTAACAGCAATTTAGTGTGAACCCCCAGGGAGTTAGGTCGATCTAGTTGGATCAATCTAATCTCTGGGAATGGGGTCTTAGTCAATTAACAACTTCTAAAACCACTCATCTAAGTCAATTAACAACTTCTAGAACCACTCATCTAAGTCAATTAACAACTTCTAGAACCACTCGTCCAGGTGAGACTACCTCCAGCTCTGTCCCATTGTCCACTCTGGTATAGGTCAGCTGTGTGTGGCTGTTGTTGACACTGGTCATCTGGTTACTCACATAGAGACCTCTGTTGGTCAGGATGATCAGGTGGTCATTGGTCAGTACCATGTCATATACAGTAAGGCCACTGCAGGCTGAAAATTATCAATAAATAAATAAACAAATAATTAATTGCTGCCATTTCAGCACTTTTCTATTTGATGGAGAAGAAAAATTTATAAGTGTCCAAGTGCCATACAACAAATTTACTTAAACTAGCCATTTTAGTTGTCGAATTATCAGTTTCGCGTGAGAATCTTTGAGCAAAATTTGAAATGAAAATAATGAAAACATCTTATTAAGGTAATTGTGTACTATATCTTGTAAATTCAATTGTCTCAAGTCTTCCATGGGCAGATATAAACTGACCACTTCCATCGCTACACAGCGCCTCCGTCATATTGTACCATGTGATACTCTCCACAGTTTTATAGGGGGCAGTGCTGGGTCCCAGAAGAGTACCTAAAAAAATATATATCTCAAAAACTTACTGAATTTATACAATTTTTTAATATTTTTATACGTTTACTTATTGTATAGTAATAGTGAATAATTTTGCAGAAATATTCCTATTAAGGTTTTTACATTAACACAATATTTACATAACACACACATTCTATGATGACCCACCATATTGTGTTTGTAACATGATTAACACATGGTCACTTTCACATGGGGTGTGGACAAGGGTCATTTGTCCAGTCACCAAGTCTCCAGCCAATTGGGAGGCCCTGGGTCCCACATCCCAGTGAAATATTGGATCTGAAATAATAGCAACAACAAAAATGGTGATAATAATAATGAAGAACTTTTTAAAACTGTGTACAATGTGAAGAAAAAAATCTAGAACATACGTCCTACTAAAATCACCAAAAGAACAAGAAGACCACTGGTTTCAGTCACTGTACTCACTCAAACACATTTTTGCATGTAATTTTCACTACATTGACCTAAAACTGGAAAAATATCCTTATTTTCTTGTATACGTATTTTTTTTACAAAACTTCTTAATTTTGTCTGCAGAACTTGTGACCATTCATTGTTTCCAGTGTCTACTACAAGATTTTTCTGACCACCTTACATGGTGTAAAATGTAAGTATGCAGACTTTCAGTTTTAGAAAACTTTCAGCCTTGTTTCTTACTGGTAAACCTTTTCTTTTACCTGTCAATGTATCTAAGAGCGTCCCATGGACGGTGAAGAGGTCCAGGTTAGAGTCCAGTTCTATGATCACTGACCACTGCTCTCTGCTGGCCACAACTGGAAGTTTTCAATCATGTGAAATCATTACTGGTCATGAAATTCATAAAAATCATTCACTTATAAAATTCCAAATTCTATATTCTTTAATTTTATGGTGATGTATGTGTATGTGTGTGTGTATATATATATATATATATATATATATATATATATATATATATATATATATATATATATATATATATATATATATATATATATATATATTACCATATAACTGAAAAATATAAAAATATATACATATCTATATATTTCTTTCTAGCAGACGACAATTTCTACAGAATATTATAAAACCTTCTCTGTTGACTCAGGTCCCTACCATCATCAGAGATATCTTCTTTTGGAATTGTTGTCACCCATGTCATCTCTTCCCAATCCTTGAGAATGAATAATTATGTTTATCATTATAATCAAGCTAGAGAGAAAAAAAAAAAAAAAAAAAAAAAA